TTGCTCCAAACACTCTCGAATAGCAATCCTGTAAATGAAACAAAATAAATTTATAACCAAAATCACATTTGTAATAAAAATATCAATATTCATACAAAAATTAGCTACTTACATTCAGGGACTTTAATTGCTTTATAGATTCATCATACACCTTTTGCCAGTAATTGTCCCTACATGCTAAATCCAGTTCCTTACACGCGCCATACAAATGAACTTGATTATCTTCATTAGTCAAATTTTTGAACTTGGTGATAAATGCAGTGTCCTTGTTATCGCACTCGAGTGTCATATTTTCAAACTAAATTATTAAATAATTTAATTATTTTACAAAATACTCATAAATTAAGTTATAGAAATCACGTTCACATGGAATAGATATAATTAAATATAATAAATTAAATATTCTTTGTATATCATGTTTACCTTACTACTTTTTTATAAAGTATAATTGATAATTTGTTTTTATTGTAGCAATATAATTTATTTATAAATTTAATATTTATATTATTGTATTTATCGTATAAACTCATTTAATAGGTTTAATTTAAACCGTGTCTGCTGAATTAATTTACTGCTAACTTATTAATTTTAAATAATATATTAGATTTAGAAAAATAAATTATCAAAATACTTTTCCGCAGATTTTTTTCATAGAGCTTATTGTACTCATCACCGCATTTCGCCATCTTAAAAGCCATATGATCATTAAATATACCTGGGTCACATATTTTAGCTTTAAACTCGCTATTGATATAGTCGTATACAACTATTTTTTGTTCACCATGCTTATCATAAGCACTTAAAAATACCAAGCAACTGGTTATCAATATAATAATTCGTAACATATTTTTTTAAAAATTATTAATAATAACACAATAAATAAATCAAAATAAAATTTTCCTTTTATTGATTTATATAAAGAAAATTAAATTAATAGAAAGCTTGATTGATTCCTAGAGGTATTTTTATGTAATCTATTATTTAAATAGGCTAAATTTAATTATTTTGTTACAGTACAAATGTAATATGCAATAGATTAACAACAAATGAGCATTTTATTGCCAAATTGTACTAAATAAATCTGAAAATATTTATTGCATGATTGTATTACTAAAACTTAAAACGCTGATTGCCTAATTGTATTAATAAAACATGTAAGCATACGCTTTCATCACCTGGACAAATATATCTTATATGAGTAATAAATTTTAGTATACTGTATGAAAGTCAAGGTAAATTATTTGTTATAATATTATTACGCTGCATAAATTATAAATTTAAAAAGGTATAAGTAAAATATCATATATTTAATATTAATAAAAACAAATTATTTGTTCAGTTTTATATTTATGATTAATTTTTAAATTAAAGAATTGTTTATATTAAATAACAATATAATATAATTTAATATAATATTAAATATGATATCGATTTCTAAAAAAGTCGTATGATATTTATTTTCCAAATAAACACTATAATTATAATAGTTTTAAAATAATTTTTACTATTTTTGTGCTACTATCACGGTAGAAAAAATTAAAATAACTTACATAATAAAGTTTATCATAATTTAAACTACTGTATTTGCTAATGTTAATTTTAAATTTTTAATTAACTTTTTTAATCTATTAATATTTTCTATTACAGTATTTTACAGTTTACGTAGTATTCATGTGAGTAAACAACATGTAATTGCTTTTATATCGTTTAAATTTAGTGCTAAGTGGTATTATGTATAGTAAACAATGCAAATAAATTAATAGTGAATACAAAGTTTTATTTAATTTATCAACAGTACATGTAATAAACTTCAACAAAATTATATAATATAAAATTATTCTTAAGAATTAATAAATTAAATGAAATCAAATTTAATTTTTTATCAAGCTCCAAACACTTTCGAATAGCAATCCTGTAAATGAAACAAAAATAAATTTATAACTAAAAACATGTGTAATAAAAATATCAATATTCATACAAAAGTTAGCTACTTACATTCAGCGACTTAATCTGCTTTATAGATTCTTCATGCACCTTTTGATTGAATTTGTCCCTGCATGATAAATCCAGTTCCTTACACGCACCATACAAATGAACTTGATTATCTTCCTTCTTTAAATTTTTAAACTTGGTGATAAATGCAGTGTCCTTGGTGTCGCACTCGAGTGTCATATTTTCAAACTAAATTATTTAATTATTTAATTAGTTTGCAAAATACTCGGATTAAGTTATAGAAGTTTTTACGTTCACATGACAACTATAGGGTAACTATATTATAGGGTAAATAAAATAAATTAAATATTCTTTGTATATCATGTTTACTTTACTACTTTTTTTATCAAGTATAATTTATAATTAGTCTATATTAAGCAATATTTATAGTAATCGAAAAGGATTCATTATTAGCTTCAAAACTACTTGATTATAGTCATAAAACTTTTAAACTTTGCTTGCTTATTCATACAAATATAAGATTTCATGTTCAAAATAGCACATTTTGTTTGAGTATTTAAAAGAACTTTTATTTTTATATGAATAAGCAAGCAAAGTTTAAAAGTTTTATGACTATAATCACGTAGTTTTGAAGCTAATAATGAATCCTTTTCGATTACTATTGCTATCGACAAATATGGCAATGTGTTTAACAGATTTATATTATTGTATTTAGGGACAAATTCATTTAATAGGTTTAATTTAAGTTGTATATGCTCAATTATATTACTATTAACCTAATGATTTTTAATATAATATTAGATTTAGCAAAATTATATGAATAGTATACCTTTTCGTTGACTTTTGCTATGACCTTACTGTACTCTTCATCGCATTTCGACAATTTAACAGCCAGATCATCATTAAATACACCTGGGTCACATATTTTAGCTTTAACATCACTCTTGATATAGTCGTATACTAGTATATCTTGTTCACCATGCTGACCATCAGCACTTACATATACCAAGCAACTGGTTATCAAAATAATAATTCGTAACATATTTTTTTAAAATTTATTAATAACTCAATAAATAAATCTGAATAAAAATGACTTTTTATTTATTTATATATGCAAATTAAAATGAATAGGAAATGTAATTAATTTTATTTCTAAAGGTATTTTTATTTCATCTATTATATTATTTAAACAGGTTATATTTAAATCTTTCTGTAGCAGTAGCACTCATGTTGTTACTATTAATATGCAATAATAATATGCAATAGATTATTAGTAATTGAAAATTTTATTGCCTAATTGTATTTTTAAAATTGGAAATATGCCTATTGCCTAATTATATTACTAAAACAGATAATACTTTTTAGCTAATTGTAGTAACAAAACTTGTAAGCATACGTTTACATAACCTGTACAAATATACTTATAACGTAATAATATGTTAGTATCCTGTATGAAAGTCAAGGTAAATTATTTGTTATAATAATAGTAATAATTTTATTTCGTATATGCAATGTGTTACATAACAAAGTTGCAATCATTTAAAAATCATTATAATATTATTACACTTCACATAAAATCCTAAAAGGTATAAGTAAAATATAATTTGTTTAATATTAATAAAAACAAAATATTTATCCGGTTGTATATTTATGATTAATTTTTAAATAAAAAATTTGTTTATATTTAATTGCAATATAATATAATTTAATATTTTATTTAAATATGATACAAATTTCTAAAAAATAAAAGTTGTATGATATTTATTATCCCAAAATTAATAATTTCAATATATTAAATTGCCAATAGTATTTATAGAGAAAAATTTATTGAATTTATTAATCAATAAAATATTTATTGTGAAAATTATATATAATTGACGTAGTATTTAATCAATACAGTAATTGTTTTAAATGATTAAACTAATTCATTAACAAATGAAATGTTCTTAATCACACAGGTAAGTTCATTATGTTTACAACATGAATTAAAATATTGAACATTTGTCTAAATAAACTACAATAAATACATTATACAATTGAATTCCATGTAGTTCATTGTGAACATTATTTATAAAATATTTATTTATAATTAGGTGCAAGCTATGCAGATTTTATTTAACGACCTTTAATGTATGCTGCCAACCTCCTTTATCGTATACAAGTATTTATAATAGCATTTTTCATTTAACTTGTAAACTTATTTTTATGATATCTGTAATAATACTCTGTATAAGCCTTATAGTTTAAGGTAATAAGCTTGTTAGTATTTTGTATGAAAGCAAATGAGTTAATAGTAATAATATTATACAACTAATAACGTGTACATAACTTGTTTAAAAAAGTATAAGTAAAATATAAAGCTTTAAAAACAACATAATTTATAAAATATTTATTTTTTCAGTTTTATGTTTAATTCTGTTTTAATTAAGAAATCATTCATATTAAATATCAATACAGTATAATTCAATCATTAGTTTCATTACGACATGAATCACAAAAAATATTTGTATGATAATTAATTTTATAATATTGCTATTAAAAAGCTCCAAGCACGTTTGAGTAGCAATCCTGTAAAATTAAAAATAGTACAATTATCCATTTAAGCTATTTAAAAAACTTATAATGTATATATTTAATGTACTTACATTCAACGACTTTTTATGTTTGATTTCAACTTCCTTTATCTTTTCCAAGTACTTATCATAGCATTTATCATCCAGCTCATCGCACGTGCCGTATAAATGGTGCTGATTGTCCTTATTTCTTAATTTCTTAAACTTTGCAAAAAATTGTTTCTCTTTTTTAGCGCAATCTTGGTTTAAGTTCTCAAACTTTTTCAAAATCACAAAATGATCAAAATTAGTATAGCATATATTATAATTATTGAGACTAGGAGTTAATAACCATGATAAATAAATTTTATAATTGAAACTATCATATGAAAATAATAATTTAAATAACCATCATACCATTTGTGTATCTTTCTCAACCAACATAGCGTGCATATCATCGCATTTATCCAACTTGACGGCCAATTTATCGCTCATTATAGCAGGGTCACATATTTTTGCTTTAAGTGGCTGGCTTATTAAATTGTCAATAGTAGTGAGACCATGTTCATCATGACCATGGACAAAAGCCGCCAAGATCACAATTAATAACAAAATAGTAATTGTATTTAAAAGGTACATTTTAAAAAATATTTCAAAAATATTTTTATATTAATATTAGAATTAACTAAAAGTTTAGTATTTATAGAAAATTTAAAAATAAGTTTATTATATGTAATTTGTTGATTAATTAATTTGATCATTCAAAAAATTATTTTCTTGGTTAAATACTACGTCAATTATATATAAATTCTTAGAATAAATATTTTATTATTTTAGTCTTTAACCAAGACGATAATTTTTTATATGATCAAATTAATTAATCAACAAATTACATGTTTTATTACAATTATCCATGTTTGTTTATTATGTTTACTGAACAACCTAATATATTATATTATAGTATTGAATATTGAGCTTTGGTGTAAATAAACTAAATACTATAATTAATATAATTTACAATTATTGTGAATGCTAAGGAATTTATATAATAGTATATTAAAGTAGGTGTCGCTCAAAGTCATACTATGTCAAGTTCAAATGCACTTTCATTATTAATTAATTGTATAGGTAACACATGTAAAGTAAGATTAATACCTAGTATTGTATATTATTCATAGCATTTAAACATAGTCAACCTTTCAATGATTCATAATATGAACATTATTTATAAAATTATTTTTTATAAAGAGGTTTTACAAATATTGTGACAATTACAATCATAGTGGGAGCCCCCCCGTTTACTATTGTATTGGAAGGACGTATGCTTTAGGGCTGAATGAAAATTTTGGATAAAAGGTAATAGTGTG